GTATCACCGTTGGATTATCGGTCTTCCTTCACATTGATAATTGGGCTGATACTTAATATGCCGATACTTCATGACTATATTTAATATGTTGTTGTAATCAGAGACATTTCAACTTCGACAGTATGGGTGCACCTTTTCGAACTTATTTGCACAAAATCATTAAAGAATTTCTAATCCCACTACTCCAGTTTATCTTGCCATCTTTAGATACCTTTGGTCCCTCTGGCATGTTTTGAGAGCGCCTTATGTAATGTACTGTTTAAAGTAAGAGATGCTAGTTTCTGTAGCTTTGTTTGTAAGAAATCTTTACGTGAAACGATAGGAAGCCAGATATTGAGTCAGCACAACGATAGATCAAAACCAAGTAAGGGCTGTCATTTTGAAGTGAGTGAGGCATGGAAAAAAGGTGCTAGCTCTCTTTGTTCTTGTGCCATGGTCGCTAAGAATTCATCAACTCCTGAAGAATAAAATGTTTACTAATTTAAGTGATTAATGTTCATGATATCATTGCAATAATATTACAAGTAGAAATATTATTATGCATTATTTCAGAGGTAACACTAATTCTACCTGTTTGAGAACTTTTGCTATCTTTCTGAACTTTCCGTCCCTTCTTGTGCAAAAGATTTGTTTCCAGTTTCTAAACAAGTGACATGCGTGAAGTTTGTGGTGTACCATCAGGAGGGTGACTTTTGAACTGACCGCAAGGTGAAAAGACATTGTAATTCTGCAGAACTATGATCTCATTTCTAAAGTAAATATAAAATATGTTAATTCGAAATTGAACAAGATTTTTATTCTAAAATGAAAGTTTGTGAAATTATACTCACTTCTGAAAGAAACATTGAACATCAACGAGAAATTCGAACATGAATGTCCTTATTTGAGGCATCTGTTGCTGAAATGCTCTAATTGAGAATCTCGTGCAATGTAGCATGGCAATTGAATTGGCATAATGTATTTATTCTTGAATGATCTGCGCATATAATAATACGTTTTATATTTGTTTCATATCATAACGTTTGATCTAATTTTACCAAATAATATGATAAGAAGTATGCATAGGTGTTCATACTAGTGTCAAAGTTGCATAGCGCGACTCTGGGACTGCTTACCAGAAGATCAGTAAAATTTCTTCCTGAATATCTTTTTGTGCCCCTCTCAACTAAAATGAGGCTTTCATGTTTGATAAAGTAAGCATTGTGTTCATGGGAAAAATCGGCAGCATCGATGACACTGCAGAAGAGCAAAAGGAGACATTACATATCACTTACGAACTCCATAAGTAACAGGCATGCATTCAGATCACTTTCCTTCAACCCTAAAAAAACAGAGTACTTGTTTCTATTTATCTCAGTAATGGATCTCATGCACTGAAGTATCTCATGGTTATTGAATTGTTTTTTGAAGGTATATTTATTAAAAACAGATTTAAAGTCCACGAAAGTGGCAAATTAATGTAACAGGAATCATCGACATTACTTATTTATTCTATAAAGACTGAATGGCTCATCAGAGTACGAATACCTATTCAGAGTATGCCTGGTTTAGCTGGTCTCTCATCATTTGCCTCTCAGACTTTATGGGATGATCCGTGCGAGTTTTCCCGTGCGTTAACCGTGACGTAATATTATGATATTTTGAGTAGTGGGTTGAACTTTTAAATATGTCAGCAATCAATCAGTACTTCCATTTTCCAGGAAAGTTTTTAGAATCTATATCTTGAAAACGTAGGAAAGGAAGCTCCTCTGTGATTAAAGTTCATCCATACTTGGTTAACATTGGCGGAATCCGTTCCTTACAACAGATGTTCTTCCACTTTTAAAGATCTGCCCTAACCGATGACATAATATTAACGATCGAAACAGGCGAGTGTTTAGAACAGTCGGTCCAAGAAATGCCCAATTCATTCTTTGAAACGTTGCTGCTAATATTTTTAAAATTGCGTAATAATTAATAAATAAATTTATTTTAAAAGCGTATTGCTGGCTGCTGCGGAACAACAACAACTGGCCTTACACCTGCTGATTATTGCATTGAATAAGCGGCTACCAGATTGTCACAATGAATTGCAAATCACGAGATTTGTTAAAAGATTTCAAAATATCTTTTTGCTTTGCTTGTAGTGTTTTGCGGATGTCGCATCATGACGCTACCTTATTGTTTTCATAAGTTGCTAGGGAAACTTTGTTCAATAGACAGGTGAATTGGCGTTAGAAATTTGTTGCAAATGACGCAGTGTCAAAAAGTTTATATTAATTCAATTTTTCGTCAATTTTTATCTATTAGAATTTTGTTAGAATTCTTATAGCGATCTGAACACCGTGAACATTTACCCCAGTCTTTTGCAGAATGCAGTTGTTCCAAAAACCGATTGATTTCTCAACCAATTTAATTTCTTAATTTACTTGATAGTAAGAAGCAGTCTGAAGGTCATGAGGCAAATTCTATGGACCGTTGCTAAAATGGCATTTAACGTTATGAGGTTTGACTTCTGATTTATTGTATTTTTACCAGCATTAAATTTTTAGGTAGATTGGAGTACGGGTTTCGAATCATACGATGTGGTATCGAGCGATGTCGCGACTTTCTATGTTAATTTTAATGTCTCGCCTTAAAAAATTAAATCGCAGCGCGTATTTAGCCAGTCTTCGATCCATGCATTTGTAGGTATGCGGTCATCGGCTTTTTGTGCAGGTTCGCTGTCCACTTGTGCAACTCAGTCAGATCTGCTGATTCTACTTTCCGTGCTAACTACTTCTTCGGGAGATGCTTTTGGATTTTTAGAAAGATCTTCACCAGTAAACTGTTCAAGTTGTACGCATAATCTAAGATAAACTGCTGATTGTTCAGCAAGCTTTTGTTTGTGTAAAAAGCGAATTCCCCCTAATCCTGTGTTTAAATGCATCAACTTTCTTCATCTCACGTTTTTCTTCAATCATCAACTTCTGATTCCCAGGCGCTTTTGTTATTTTAATTGTATCGTTATTAAATTTTTGCTTATGTTTTAACAATCGTCGTTTATTTACATACAGTTTCAGTGGTTGTGCGTTGATGAGACAGGGAATGTGGTAAGTTCAGACCAGTCACTCAAGTGTTTCTTGCATGGTATTCTAGGCATGATCACCTGTTGTTGCAAGAACACGGTCGATTAATTTTTTTCACCCTTCACGTTGAACGAGGCTTATCCAGGTCTTGGACGTTTCCAGTCAACAGTCGCCATCAAGAGTGTTGTCCGTTGTTTGTTCAGTAGCGTTTCCAGAACAACCTGTGATTCTCTGGTGGTGTGCGAGCCTTGCTACTTCTCTTAGAGCTTTATGAACCGTCACTGGCTGACTACTCCCCTTTTGACTCGTAAAGAGCGAGATGTCTAACCGACCAATCACGGGCTGCAAATCGAATAATCTATCAGATAAAGAATGCCCTCACCTTCTTCGATTGAAACCTGAAACTTTTACTTTTACCATCATCCTGATGGATTTCGAAAGACCCTGGACATAGGGTGTACAGTGTTTTGTCTTTCAGGTCTGGACTGTGCTATTATTGGAATAAGTTTTTTGAAAGCCATTGCATTCCAGTACATCGCAAACACACTATCTTTACGTTTGAGCTGTGGTCTTAGAACACAAATGATTGGCCCGTTCCATTACGATTTAGCTAATCCAGCTTTCAGTGTCTAGAGTGGGTTAGTTTAAAGCTGAAGTAGTGGTCAGTGTGAGTTTGTCTGTGATACCTTGACAGCTCAAATGGAATGTTAGGTAGACGGCTTATTTGACAATTCGGGACTAGATTATGCTTCGATTTAAGAGTGCTAGAAGCATCCTGAAAACCTTCAGAGTCTACCAAACCCTCAACACAAAAAGAAGTTTCAAAAAAATGAA